TCTTTCAATTCCTTTTATAATGATGTAAAATACATGAGCTTAAGTTCAGTAGTTTTGAAGATTTATTGATTTAAAGCTTAAAGTAGACTTTAATAGGTACATCAGATTAGTTTGTACTACTTTCAGAAGAAATTTGACTAAAAGAATTTACTTAATAATTAAATGATTTTCTTCACTACGCCCACGGTTTGTTTATCATTTTGTTGTTGAAAATAGCTATTGGAACGTTTTTTTGTGGCAAAAAAGTTATTTCTGGAAGAAAGATAAGGACATATCTCGTACTTATTTTAAATAGGAATTTAGTACACAGTTTGCGATTAATTTGACTAAACTTTGTTGCTAAAATAACTTGTAACGCTTTATTACATAAATTAACCATGGTATATTCCACAGCAGAAAGAGTTGAAATTATCGAAATATTTTTCGCAAATAATCAGTGCGCTAGTAGAACAGCAGAAATATGCATCGAAAATATGTTCTAGAAGTGGGGGTTTTAGGGCAAGTTTATGTAGATCCTACGTTAAGTACCCGCGAATTGGAGACTGTGTGTGGTGTTAGTCGACGTACTGTCCAATGGATTCTAAAGGCCCATAGTTTTCATCCGTATAAAATTCACCTGGTACAAGAACTTAATGAAGACGATTTTGATCGGCGATTACAATTTTGTGAAGATATGAATGAACGAATTATAAACGATGAACATTTTCTATTTAACACTTCCTTTTCCGACGAATGTCCCTTTTTCTTAAATGGCATAGTAAATCGTCATAACTGCCGATATTGGTCCGATTCTAATCCCAGAATTTATCATGAAGTTCATACACAGCAACCACAAAAATTAAATGTTTGGGCTGGTATTTTTGGCGATCATTTAGTTGGTCCTTTTTTCTTACCTGGAAATTTGACCGGTGAAATGTATTTGGAATTACTGGAAGACGCCATAGATCCTGCATTAACAGCCATAATTGAAAATCAGAATGATCGGCGGTACATTGCGAATAGGTTGATGTTGCAACAGGATGGTGTCCCACCACATTACGCATTACGTGGCCCCCAAGATCGCCAGATTTATCACCTTTGGATTTCTTTATGTGGGGTCATTTAAAAAGCAAAATCTATGCTACTCAGCCAACATCATTAGACGACCTGCCACAAAGAATTGTGAATGAGTGCCTTCAAATTACTCCTCAAATATTGCAAAATGTGCGGCAACGTTTTGAACAAAATCTTTATTATTGCATGGAGAGTCATGGTGGCCATTTTCAACATTTACTTGCCTAATGAGTTAGTTGATTCTTCATTTTTAAATTACTTTGCTGCCAAATGTATTGATCACCACTAATGATGATGTATTAGTTTTATTTAAGCTTTAAATCAATAAATCTTCAAAACTACTGAACTGAAGTACATTACTGTTATATCATTATAAAGGGAATTGAAAGACCTTTAAAATAAGGTATCACTCGACCCCCCTTTCCATTTAAGATTTTGGGGGTGGTGTCACCCACGCTTAGGGGGCTGCACGTGCTAACGTGATTTTTTGTCAAACTTGTGTCCCCCTCGACAAAATCGGCGGGTCTGAGCGTTTTTCCAAAAAAAAAACGCTGCCAGTAAATGCGTCTGTTTCGTTTTCGATGCGCCACCCTGTATATATTAAAAATGGTAAGTCTTAACTTAGAAAACGTGTCTTATTCCTTATCTCATTATAATTGCAACCAAAAATCTCACAGTCGTTAGCAATTTTATTGGCATTGTTACTCATTATATTAACTGGTGCTTTTGATAATAAGTTAGTCTGTGCTCTTTGACATAAAAAAGGAACACTAGCTCGTGAAGCTAACCGCGGCACCAGAAATTGCAACTGTGAGAGAATTTGGGGACAGCCTACTTGACCATGCAACAATTTATATAAAATCAGTACAGAAAGTTGATTCCGTCACTGCTCTAAAGATTGAAACTCAAACTTTTGCAAAAGGTCTTTGTAATCGGAACCTCTCGCAGGGACTCCATCAGTTTTGAAACTGAGAAACTTCAAAAAATTTTTCTTAATTTTATCAACAGCATCAACATATTGTTTATAAATAGGGCTCCATATAAGAGATCCATATTCAAGTTCTGACCTGATCAGGCTGAAAAATAAAGATCTCAATGTACAGATATTGTCGAAGTTCCTACAGTTTCTGATTATGAAACCGTACGTTTGCGATGCACTAGAAATTATTTGGTTTATATGATAATTGAAGGTAAGTTCCCCGTCAAAGTAGACACCTAAATCTCTCACAGTCTCACAATGCTCCAAGACAGAATCCTCCATTGTGTCGTTGTAAAATATAGGATTAGTCTGTCTAGAAGAAGTGAGTACTTTACATTTAGAAATATTTAGAAAAAGGTTGTTATTTTCACACCATCTCAGTACAATGTTGATTTGTTCTTGCAACACAACACAATCCTCTGTCGAGGAAATAGTAGAGAAAAATTTTAAATCGTCAGCAAACATCAACTTCAGACAGTCCAAAGAGACACAAAAAGAATGAACAGTAGGGGTCCTAAGTTAGAGCCTTGAGGAACACCGCTGGTAGAATTCTAATCATGCGAATAGTATCCATTGTAGAAAACATAGTGTTTTATTTCAGAAAGGAAAGTCAAAATCGCAATATAAGTACTATTAAAACCTAAGTATCGTAGCTTACTAATCAATATATTATGGTAAACATTATCAAAGGCTTTGGAAAAATCCGTGTATACCACGTCAATCTGGCCTCTGTTATTCAATCTTTGGCATAAGTATTGACTGAACTCCATTAGATTGGTTAAAGTTGAGCGTTGCCTCATAAAACCATGTTGATGAATGGAAATATGGTGTTTCACGGACAGATGTATTCGGTTATACAATATGATCTCCAAGAGTTTCGCAAAATTGTTTAAGATAGACACTGCTCTATAATCAGAAACTAAGTTATAATTCTTTGTTTTTGGAATTGGGCACACCTTTGCAGCTTTCCATTTATCTGGGAAAAGAGATGTTTTTTTTATACTCCAAATACCACGAAGGCCTAAGGCCTAAGCACCCATTGGGTACCGTGGGGTTATAGGGGGATACATGGGAAAGGGGAGACGCCACACGGACTCTGGCGAGGGAACACGTGTGCATGCAACATGCACACATTCTGGCTCCGCCTACGAGATCCGCCGGGTGGTACCTCCGCATTCGATAGTCAGAGACTGTTTACCACCTACGGACAATCACAACATCCATAGCCAAGAGAAAATATTCTCGTGGGACGGGACTCGAACCCGCACAGCGCACGGCGACTGATCAGGAGACCGAAGAGTCTACTACTGCGGCCACCGCTGCTGCCTAACTGCAAAACTAAGTTAAACAGAATCTGCAATGGAAATACCAATATTCTAATACAATTCTTGACAAAGAATGATGGAATTTGGACAGGTCCTGCAGTTAGGTTGTCTTTTAGCTTCCGATTGGCACCAAAAATTTTATCGACCGTAATTTGTTCACAACTAATATCTATTGCGGCATTATGATCGAAATTTAAGCTATGATTGGCATCAATATCATCCGGTAACGAGTAAACACTAGAGAAAAAATCGGCAAAAGCATCAACTATACCTTGGGGATCGTTAACGGACTCATCATTGTAGGTCATATTGTTAGGTATTCTAGTTGTATTGTTTTTACTATGGATAAAGGCCCAGAAAGATTTAGGATCATCCTTCAAATGATCTTGCATTGATCGAAAATATATATCATACCCCTCTCTAGTTATATGTTTAAACACTCCTCGAATCCTACTGAACTCTTAATAATGTGTAAGAAATCTAGTTTGCTTGAACTTTCTATGAGGTTTGTCTTTTTGTTTTACAATTTTAATAATTTCGCTTGTATACCAAGAAGGATACATGCGCTTAAAGTTTTTGTACAGCGGAACATGTGTACATTGAGCTTATTATAAAAAGTTGATAGAACATTTGAAGAAACTGGATCTGTGCCTAATATTCGCCATCGAGAACATCGACCAGTTAGAAATGAAACCGCAGAAATAGCAGTTTTGGGACACGTAGCACTTAACAACACCCAAAACACTCGTGGACTGGCTACTTCTTCAATATTTATACACTCAACAGTACAAAAAATTTTGAAAGACAATTAATTTCACCCGTACTAGACAAAACTTGTCCATGAGCTTAATGAAGACGATTATTATAGAAGGTTGGAGTTTTGCGAATTAATATCCCAACGTTCAATTAACAATGCAAATCTGTGTTGTTTCTCGGATGAGTGTACGTTCTATTTGAAAGACTACAAATTTCACCCGTACAACATAAAGCTTGTCCATGAGCTTAATGAAGACGATTTTGATAAAAGGTTGGAGTCTTGCTAATTAATGTCCCAACGTTTAATCTGTTGTTTATTATTTGTTTCTCGGATCAGTGTACGTTCTGTTTACATGGTGCTGTAAATAGACATAATTGATATTAGAGTGACTCGAATCACATTTGTTTCGGGAGGTGTATTCGCAATATCTTGAAAAAATGAATGTGTGGGCCGGCATTTCCGGAAATCATATTGTGGGACCTTTCTTGATTCCTGGAAAACTTGACGGGCGAGACGTACTTGGACATGTTAGAAAATACAATAGAACCACGAATTACCAAAATAATAGAAAATGACGTTAATTTTACTGAAAATAACGTTCAGTTCCGATAAGATGGTGCGCCGCCCCACTATATGGCTCCAATACGACAGTTTTTGGACATCCATTTCCCGAATCAGTGGATCGGAAGACGAGGTCCCATCGAGTGGCCGCCGAAATATCCGGACCTAAGTCCTTTAGATTACTTTCTTTATGGGTATTTGAAAAGTAAAGTTTTTAGTACGAAGCCAGATTCAAGTCAGCGGACTGCGGCTTAGACAAATAACTCGGGACATTAGTTATAAACCAACTTCAATGTTTTAATGTTTCCTTCTCCAATTGTTCCAGGGGCATCTGTGGAAGGAACATGCTACTTCTCCCAAGAATTTCAAGGCGAATATGTAATGCAAAGCTCAGCGGGCTTTGGTAACCGAGTGATCCAATACAGCACCGTCAATATCACCGAGAATTCGATACCCATTTGGGGCAGCTGCCATAGGAGAATTGGGAACAATTACATACTTATATACAAGTAAGTTGATATCCATACATTTAGCCACGTAAGCTACCAGAAAGATATGGCGTTTCTTAGTATTATTTATTTTTTTTCGTTCGATTTATCTATTAGTTTTTTGTGTACATGTGGTATTGAAATGGCTTACGAATCATTTCGTAATCTAATCATTTCATTTAAAGCTTCGAACCACCCTATGATGATTTTCGAAAAACAGCTTTTTTTTGAAGCTATATGACGAACAAAAAAAATAGGATGATAATATTGTTGTATTATCAAAAACAACATGAAAAGCTAGCCTACAAAAACTATTTTAAATGGCTCCATCTCCAGAAAAATTTAAGGACAGATCCGTGACGTAAAAATATGGGTCTTGGAAATTTCCCGTTTCCACGAAACGGAATATTTAAACTATATGTTTGACAAAAAATGGTATGCAATTGATTTTTTTAAAAGCAATAGCCGTCTTCCCAAATCCATGCTGATTCTGTCTGAGAGAAGTTTTTTTTTGTTTTGCTTGCTGAAAATATTAACAGCTCGATTATTATTTTTTGATATCTGACTAATGTATCAGTGAAAACACAATAATTAGATACGGCATTAAAAGTTTCACACATTACATATATAGGTGCTTTCAAAAATAAATTTGTGCGAGCCCTGTCACAATAAAGAGTTTGGACGGTAGGAGTTTGAATAGATGGGACATTAAAGTTTAGTTGAGCCACAATCTTATTAGTATCAATTTAACTGTGCAGCAGTTTATGCAAGAAGATAATTAACGCACACTTGATTCTCAGCTCTAAAAGCTGCATTTGAAACCTAGACAATAACAAACTTTCAAATATATCCTGCTCAGGATACACAGCATCAAGATAAAAATTTGACAAAGTTTCTCTGAACCTGCTCAGGAGAATCAATGTAGCAGTTGTAAGTTGGATTCCAAATGAACGATGCATCGATCTAATATATACAAAATACAAAACCAACAGGTACTCTGGGCGGCTGAAGCTTCTTCAGTTTCTCACAATGAAACTGTACGCTCGTGAAGCTTCGCTCACCTTTTGAGCTATCAGGATTGAAAAATTAAGTTTATGGTCAAAAACTACACCTAAATACTTAATTGAGTTTTGACGATTCATGTAAACATCTCCAATCCTATAATAATTAAATTTACACACTTCGCAAATTATCCGGCGTATAACCCAACCTCCATCCCAACTGTTTCACAGATTTGCTTGTATCGTATAAATAGTAAAACATATTAAGTTAGCAGATGTTCTTATTGCTGGGAGGTTCCCATGTAACAAAGCGAACACCTGTGGTGAATACAGTCTCTTTATCATTTTGCATTGCATCCCAGATTTGGATAAGATTCCACTGGATACATATACAGGGTGGCGCATCGAAAACGAAACAGACGCATTTACTGGCAGGTCAGTTTTTTGTTTTGAAAAACGCTCAGACCTGTCGATTTTGTTTTCGAGGGGGACACAAGTTTGGCAAAAAACCACGTTAGCACGTGCAGCCCCCTAAGCGGGGGTGACACCACCCGCAAAATCTTAAATGAAAAGGGGGTCGAGTGATACCTTATTTTAAAGGTCTTCCAATTCCCTTTATAATGATATAAAATTAATGTACTTCAGTTCAGTAGTTTTGAAGATTTATTGATTTAAAGCTTAAATAAAACTAATACATCATCATTAGTGGAGATCAATACATTTGGCAGCAAAGTAATTTAAAAATGAAGAATGAACTGACCCGTTAGGCAAGTAAATCTTGAAAATGGCCACCATGACTCTCCATGCAATAATACAGATTTTGCTCAAAACGTTGCCGCACATTTTGCAATATTTGAGGAGTAATTTGAAGGCACTCATCCACTATTCTTTGTCGCAGGTCTTCTAATGATGTTGGCTGAGTAGCATAGATTTTGCTTTTTAAATTACCCCACATAAAGAAATCCAAAGGTGATAAATCTGGCGATCTTGGGGGTCATTCAATGGCACCTCTTCTACCAATCCATCGATCTGGAAACGTCTGATCTAAATATTGTCGAACACGTAATGAGTAATGTGGTGGGGCACCATCCTGTTAGAACATCAAGCTATTCGCAATGTACCGCCGATCATTCTGATTTTCAATTATGACTGTTAATGCAGGATCTATGGCGTCTTCCAGTAATTCCAAATACATTTCACCGGTCAAATTTCCAGGTAAGAAAAAAGGACCAACTAAATGATCGCCAAAAATACCAGCCCAAACATTTAATTTTTGTGACTGCTGTGTATGAAGCTCATGATAAATTCTGGGATTAGAATCGGACCAATATCGGCAGTTATGACGATTTACTACGCCATTTAAGAAAAAGGAACATTCGTCGGAAAAGCAAGTGTTGAATAGAAAATGTTCATCGTTCATAACTCGTTTGCGGGTCGTTTATAATTCGTTCACTAATATCGCTTATATAATAAATTGTAATCGCCGATCAAAATCGTCTTCATTAAGTTCTTGTACCAGATGAATTTTATACGGATGAAAACTGTGGACCTTTAGAATCTGTTGCACAGTACGTCAACTAACATCACACACAGTCTCCAATTTGCGGGTACTTAACGTAAGATCTACATAAACTTGCCCCAAAACCCCCACTTCTATTGCTTCGTTCCTTATGGGATTTTCAATGTTGCGTTTTTTATTGGCGACTGACTCAGTTTCCCGAAATTTAGCTACAAGTACAACATATTTTCGATGCACGTTATTGTTCTCATGTCGCTCATTAAATATTTCTGCTGTTCTATTAGCGCACTGATTATTTCCGAAAAATATTTCTATAATTTCAACTCTTTCTGCTGTGGAATATATCATGGTTAATTTATGTAATAAAGCGTTACAAGTTATTTTAGCAACAAAGTTTGGTCAAATCAATCGCAAACCATGTACTAAATTCCTATTTAAAATAAGTACGAAATATTTCCTTATCCTTCTTCAAGAAATAACTTTTTTGCCACAAAAAAACGCTAGAATATCTATTTTTAACAACAAAATGATAAAAAAACCATGGGCTTCGTGAAGAAAATCATTTACTTATTAAGTAAATTCTTTTAGTCAAATTTCTTCTGCAAGTAGTACAAACTAATCTGATGTACCTATTAAAGTCTACTTTAAGCTTTAAATCAAAAAATCTTCAAAACTACTGAACTGAAGTACATTAATCTTATATCATTATAAAGGGAATTGAAAGACCTTTAGAATAAGGTATCACTCGACCCCCTTTCCATTTAAGATTTTAGGGTTGGTGTCAGCGCCGCTCAGGGAGCTGCAGGTATTAACGTGATGTTTTGCCAAACTTGTGTCCCCCTCGAAAACAAAATCGACGGGTCTGAGCGTTTTCCAAAAAAACTGAGCTGCCAGTAAATGCGTCTGTTTCGTTTTCGATGCGTCACCCTGTATAGGTGTACATACACGAAGCTTATCTTGCTAGCATGGGCTTTACTTAATACTTCCATCGTTTAGGTAGTCGTAGATTTTGAAAAGTGATTAAGAAGTGGCGGAAATCGCTGGAAGATAGTGTTGCAAGGTGTCAGAGATTCCTGCTCATTTTCAGACATTGTTTGAAAGGGATTAAAATTGTAGGATGGATGCTGTATGCGATAAATGATTTGTAAATTGTTTTCGGGTCTGTGAAAGACGTTCTATTATTAAGGAGCTCAGTGATACTATGCTCCTGTCAGACATAATAAGTCACACATATTTTCCTTAGATCTGCTATGGCCAAAATTACTTGTTTGAGAGTTTTCTTCATTCCTGCCAATCATTCTCATTTCTATGACCCAGAACGTCCTTTAAATATACGCAAAATATTTTAAATAACTATTCGTATAGATATCTACTATAACCATACTATTACATTTCCAGCAAATATACAGGGTGTTCCTTAATGATATGCGAATATTTAAGGGTGTGAATCTACATGAAAAATTAATGTTAGTTTGCTTTATAAACTATGGTCCAAAAATGTTTCCTTGCAAAAAATCGGGGTGTTGAAGTTTTAGGGAAAAAAATGGAAATTAATTATTTTCAGAACCGCTCCAGATATTTCACTGATATTTAGTACGTAGTGAAAGTTAATAAAGTTGCATATTTTTCAATGCAAAAATAATTTTTAGCTTTAACAGTGGCGTGCGTACGGGTATTGAATTCGACATTTTTTGAGAAAAAAATGGTACGCCAATGATTTTTTGCCAAATAAAAATTATTTTTGTATTCCCCGTTCAATTTAAACCAAAGGATTTTTCTTGAGTTGCTTTCCTTCGATGCGCCATTTTGAGTAAAAAATAAAAGCCGTTCGATTATCCGAGAAAATTAACGTAATAATTGAAGAATGCAATTTAGCAATAAATATCTAGTTGCTCTGGAATATGTCACTGGCTTTTGACACCTGACAAGTCTCTGTTATTCAAATCTGTTCGCTCTGACATCTTTTTCATTATTTAGTTTTTACAATCTTATTAAAAATGGTGAATTATTCAAATGCAGAAATGGAGGAAATGCATTACGTATATGGCCTTACTGACGGTAATGGTGAGCAAGAGAGACGGATTTACCACCAAAGATATCCCGATCGTGCTTTGCCAAATAGTCGAACGTTTTCTAATATTCATCGTCGTCTTGAAACTGGTTCTGTCCGAAAAGGGACATCTGAAGGTAGACCTCTAAGTGTGAGAACACCTGAAATTGAGGAAGTAGTTTCCATCAAATTGTTTGGAGAATTTTAGTGGTTTTTTTGTTATATCCTCACCATATTTTAAGAGTACAGGCATTACTTCTCATTAATTTTCTAAGGCGTGTGACCTTTTGTCAGTGGGCAGAAGAAAATCCCTATGCCGTAACCGAAACCCATTTCCAACACCAATTTTCAATTAACGTATGGGCAGGAACTATTGGCGTCCACTTTATTGGCTCATTCTTCTTGCCGGGACGACTTGACGGACAAACTTACCTCAATTTTCTTCAACAACATACATACATGATGATGCATCAGCGCATCTCAGTGTAGCGGTTCGTAATATTTACAAACTGTTTATTCAAATCGTTGGATTGGCCGCGGTGGGCCCCAGGACCTGAACAGTTTAGATTTTTTTGTGGGGCTATCTTGAGACACTAGTGTACACAAGTCCCATTAACACTGTAGAGAAATTAAGAGAAAGAATAATTGCATTTCAACGAGAAGGAGGGCGGAAGCATGCATACTGTGAAGGGGGGCCATTTTCAACAATTTTTGTAATCATTTCGATGATTTTAATGTTATCTTAATGTTGTCAGTTGTTGTTGTCCATTACCAAAATAATGTGTTTAATTTTTCCAATTAAATTACTAATAATGTTGCAAGTTAGACAATAGAACGGTTTATATTTTTTTACTCAACAATGGCGCATCGAAGGAAAGCAAATCAAGAGAGATCATTTGTTTTAAATTAAAATTAAAAATAATTTTTATTTGGCAAAAAACCATTGGCGTATTATTTTTTTCTTGACAAATATCGAAGTCAATATCCGTACGCACGCCACTGTTAAAGCTAAAAATTATTTATGCATTGAAAAATATGCAGCTTTATTAGATTTCACTATGTACTAAATATCAGTGAAATATCTGAAGCGGTTTTGAAAATATTAATAAATTTCCATTTTTTCTAAAACTGCAACACTTTTTGTAACGAAACATTTTTGGACCATAATTTATAAAGCAAACTAACATTAATTTTTCATGTAGATTCACGCCCTTAAATATTCGCATATCATCGAGTATTTTATAATTTTCGACTATCGGTGCTATTTTATTTTTTAAATGCTTTATTACTGCTCTTAGAATCCAAATTTGTTTTAATTTAATTTTCAGTAAGACAATTAAGCGTTTAAGAAGCATTTTGCTTTATGAGGTCGTGAAAATGTTCTTAGAGCAAAAGTACAAAACAGTTTCAGGACAAGTTTTAATATCTTTTATAAACGTTTACACAAGAATTTTATACGACATTTTGACCTTTTCTCTTTAAATTTAATAACACCTAATATACTTGAGGCGCTTGAAGATTTTGCTGCATACATATATCGCATATATTATACAAAACATTTCTTTCGCAGTAAAACATCAACCATCAGATTACAAAGCGAATTTTCGTCTGACTGGTATTGGCGGTATATGTTAGGACTAAATGCAACATGGCTGATGTAGTTACTCAAACGTATTTTATTTGCTAAAAAAATCTAATGCTTGCGTTTTTGTTGTATCAACTATCATTAAAAAACAAATTATTCTCTGTGTTCTCAATTTAACAACAAAAGCAAACGTTTAGTGCTAGTCAAAACAAGAAAGCTGCATCTAAGATAATAAAACAAATTAATTATACAAAACTGTGTTATTCTAGTTCCATAACTGTTTTAAATTTGTTGCGTACTATATCTTATAATAATTTTAGAACAAAATACCTGCACAAGAGTGTGCCCTTTTTGGGTTTATAAGCGTTGTATAAACGTTGTTAAAACGTTTATAGCGGCATTGTTGTTTTATAAAAAATAGTTCTGCAAACATTGTTAGGACATTTATAAAACATAAAACTGTTAGTTGGGCGAATACTTTGTATACCATTTAACAATCTTGGAGGGTCCCATACACATAAATTTCGAATTAATCCTTATTCCTTGTTGCAGTTATAGTGAAACCAGTTGTATAAGATGTCTTCATCTCAAACTGCGTTCAGCCAGCGTTCTACAAGTATACACAGTCAACCAAGAGACAATTTCTAAATGTTTCACCAATGAAAAAACTGCTGAAGAGAACTGCCCTTCCGACGAATCTGTGGTAGCTGGTGAAACGGCAGAAATATTATTATTCAGTAAGTTATTAAAACTGAATGAAATATTATGGGTCTATTAAGTACGACACTGCGAACATGGTGGGTCTCGTACTCAATACGGTGAGATTCTAGCACACATGTCTAGAACTGGGTCGGTTCTGAGGGAATGACGAAGTTCTATTTTTGAAATGCACTTGATGATATGCAAAGTATACTGAGGTACAGCAGTGAATTTTTTTTAATAGTCGCATGCGAACATCATCTCGAAGGAGGAGAAAAAACGGACCAAATATCAGAAGCTCCTCAATCAACTTCGCAGGCTTTGGACAGACCACACTGTCAGTCTGCTATTCATAGTCATTTTATCCTTGGATGGGAAAAAACTGGAGGGGGAAAAACGGACCAAATATCAGGAGCTCATCAATCAACTTCGCAGGCTTTGACCAGACCACACTGTCAGTCTGCTATTCATAGTCATTGGTTCATTGGATGGAAAAAAATGGAGGGGGGAAACGGGCCAAATATCAGGAGCTCCTCGATCAGCTTCGCAGGCTTTGGCCAGACCACACTGTCAGTCTGTTAGTCATCGCCACTGGATCTTTGGATGGGGAAAAATAGGAGGCAGGAAAAACGGACCAAATGTAAGGAGCTCCCCAATCAGCTCCACAGGCTCTGGCCATACCTCTGTCAGTCGGCTAGTCATGATCATTAGATCGTTGGGTGTGATGAGGAATACACTGCTATCTGCAATTAAATCCACACCGATATGCCAAGCATCGGCAAGCATCCTAGTTTATGATTAGGTCTTCCATTTTGGTACTTGATGATACAAAACTACGAGTATATTTAATATTCGGTATTTATTATTATTTATTTCACTATTTTAGAGACAAGGGATGTTTTGGGCCAGTACACACCTCAACAATACTGCCCGTTCGATGGAAAATATAGCCTCAAGTACAACAGTTTTTCCAAAAGGTTGATGAAAGACTGTTTTGGGTATGGATCTTTAGCAGACTCTTGTCCATCTGGATCTACGATCAACTTACGACCGAGGAATTGCTCCACAAATAGCTATGGTAAAAAACTGCAAATATTATGTATCTTTAATTGCTAAAAATAACATCACTCCGCAACAATTTGTATAGAAACCTGTTCTGATCCTTTGACAACAATTTCTTAAGGCTGATTGTATAGTTTTCTTAAATACCAAAAGGCTCTTGATGGTGTGTCGATATGACGCGTTCGAATACCACTCTTAATAACATCGAAGTGCTTCTTCAGAACAGGTGATTGCCAAAAATGCCAAAAATTACACAGGAAGCTGGCAATTTTCTAAGTTCGGGCCACTTAAACTGAGGTACCCACTACGGAGGTAAAATTGCAATTCACGGACTTCAAGTAATTGGGGTTTTCGAATCGTTTTTTATCGTAAAAAATGCGAACCTAATTACAGGAATGTCTGCTGTCGCGACAGAGAATTATAGTCTAAGAGCTGCCGGTTGATTTATACAGCTCATTCGTGCCAGCAATCGTTCTTTCTCTGGAGATCTTATTGCGAAGTCTCCTTAATTCTCTTCACACTCTTGACATATGGAAGTGACAGTACAACTGTCAAAATTTTTTTTCAAGCACGAACTTGGGCTTAATCCAGAGGCATCCTTACCGTTAACGTCACAGGTCCCTTTTTTCCAACACAATGTCTCGAGGAGTATTCCTAATAATTTTTGTCTGATTGTTTCTTGGTGTGTATAGAGATGACTGAAAAAAATGTCATCTGTTTCTTTTTTGTGCATTTAAAAAGCTTAAAGATGGCTTACCAAACATTGTCACAATGTTGAAATTTCTTCTCTAAGCTTAAGATAATTAAGAATAATCTCAGGTCGACTATGTTCACGTTAAGGCTCTCTCTCAAATTTAGCTATTTTAACAATTGAACATGACGCAGATATTAATAATGACTATTGTAAATGGTGTTTCAATAACGACGCAATATTTCAAGCTTCTATAAAACGTGGTATTTCGTAACAAACAATGAAATATTTATTGGATTATGGTGTATACACTTTGGAATTATGTATGAAACAACACATCTCTTTTAATAAAATTTGTGATAACATTTTTGGACACATGTCGTGGTATCTGGTTGACGCAGCTTTCAATGATTTGGTGGTTGCAGACTTGTTGGCATAAACTTCAGATAACCCTAAAGCCAAAAGTCCAAAAGTATTAGGTCGCAAGAGCGTGGCCGCCAATTCTGGTCACCAAACCAGCAAACGACTCGACCACGAGCGAACTCGTGCAAAACTGCCTATGTTTCACGAGCAGTATGGCATGTGGCACTATCCTGCTGATTACCATATGTCATTAAGGGCCATGGCATCTAATTGTGGCACAAAAAACTGAGTAATCATTCCACGATAAGGTTCGCCATTCACCCTCCAGACCATAGTGCACACCAAACAGTGACACGTTTCGGATGCATAGCTTTCTCATGAGTTACTCGAGGATTCTCTGTGCCCCAAAAGGGACAGTTTTGTCTGTTGACGGAAAACGGGCATCATCGCTAAAAATGATTTTGTCCGCAAAATCAGCATTCACATCCTGTTGGCCAACGATCCAAATGCTAAACTCTCTTCTCTGCGTATAATCTGTTGAGATGTTGAGCCAGCTGGACTTTGTAGGTATGCAGGTGTGAATCTTTCATTAGAATACGCTGGAGAGTGGCTGGTTTAATGTCCAATTCTTGACCGCGATGACGAATCGACGTCCCTGGATTCTCGGCTACACTCTCGCGAACTGCTCTGACATTTTCTTCTGAATCACCGCTCCGAGCTCGACTCGTATGTTTCAGATCATTAACAGAACCAGAACATTCAAATTTTTGGATTATTCTTTTCTCAGTCGATGGGTTAGGAACATTATTCCGACCGAATATTAGCTACACTTTTCGAATCGTGGAAATTAAACTTTAGGATGCGCTGTTCTATTGTGTAATGATTCATTTTCGTCAACTCCCGCCTGTCAACTATCGATCTGTCATGGCACAATCATTATGACATTATGACTCACAAAATGGCCGGTAATTCAAATATTGCGTTCTTATTGATACACCCTTTATAAAGGATTTTTCTATGATTAAGATTCGAAAATTCAATTTTTAGTTGATTAAAGAATTTAAAGATGCTTGATTATCTAAACTTCTAATAAAATAGAGAGGAGCGACAAAAAACCACGCTACACCACTGATGCTTGCGGTCCTTATTCATTTATGTTGCTTCAGAAAATAAGTAGTATCATTTCGAAAAAGGCTATCAGCTTTATCATTTCTAGACATGAACTTCGATTGCCTAGCGAATTGGGAAGCATCAAGTGGAGACAACTACTTGATACTGGTAGATAGTACCAATGATGCGAGACATCCTAGCAAGCAGAAACCAATATATCGCTGTGCGGTAAGTAGGACGTTTTGGGGTTCCCTTTGTGCAAAAATGACGTCAAGTGGGTTGATTCTGCCCTTCCCATGCAACGTCGTTGTCAGCTAGCTAATATACTAATACAAAAAGATTGAGCTTCACGTTTTCCTGCATGTTTCATTTAACTGAAGTCACTAGTAATGAAAATGGATTTTATACACGGCGAGTTCGCATAGTTCTGCACTTTTTCATTTGATTAAATATTTACGTCACAAACGACTTTCAAAATAGCTTCGGAATTGATTTCAACGATCCAAAATATCGTTTGAACCGCATATACGACGGTTGTCTCAAAAATATGGTTTCCACTTTTTTTTCAGGTGCAAGGAATTTTTTATTTGAAAAGACGAATTTACCGAATTGCGATGAATTTCTATTGGTGGTGACATTTTTGCATGCAAAAAATTGGATGACCCCACGAATTTCGCACCTGGCGGTGACGGCGATAACCGCTCTATTGCGCATAGCTGTCAGGCAGGTACTGAGCCTCGCCAATAGGCGCTTCTTGTTGGGATCGAGACAAATACGATAGTATTACCAGATTACATCTAGCATCACGCGCGGCAAAGTTGCAGCGTTGGGAACCTTATTTTTGAGTCAACCCTCCTAAATACGGTAGTACCAAAAAGCTTTTTTGGTAGCATAAACCTAATCCGAAGAACAGTTAATAAGACAGTATCCGAGATGTCAAAAAGAACTCTGATTATACTAAAATGTACCATAAAAATTTCAAAAATTCTTGCACATCTGTGATATGGATTTTAACATATTTCTGGGAAAAATCACTTAAACGCTAGGACTCAAAAAGCAGTCTCAAACGCCCCATTTTCTGCCTCACGACACTTCTCATTTTTTTTTATTTTCCAGCTATATAAAGAGGACACAATAACAGGCAACATTCAAATGGCTCTGAGCAAAGACTCAACATGCACAAACGAACTGTTTAACAGCAGTTATGGCTACGAAGTATTCCAATTGGAGTCTAAACCAGAAAAAGTCTGGCCAATAGAAGTCACTTTCGGAATTTGCACTTTTCCAAAATGGATGCACGGCGACTGGGAACATCTCATAGTTCGAGGAGATACTATGGTATACCGAGATCGTACTTCTTTCAAAACTTACACCATCAAATGCGTCGGTGTTGTAGAAGACAGTGACAAATACTTGGTTTTCAGTAGAACTCAATGGTATGTTATTTCCTAATTATTTACTTATAATGCCAAAAAAACCAAATAGTTTTGAGACGAATTACATTTCGACTCTCGCTGCTAGATAGCACCTATCCAATGTTGCTATTTACGGCTTCTATGATGGTGGATTTGTATAATTATTAGTGGTGACATCCTGTGTAATAAAAATATATCTTTCTAGTGATGAAGAATTCTACAGTTGCGTCCGGATAGCAAACAGAAGCAACAATATCTTAGAATTCCAAATCGGCAAAAATACAAGTAAAGACAAAGATGTGTTCAGCCTGTGCCAGGATGAAAATTTTGAAGGAGATACTTGGATAACGCAAGGACGTAAGTGGTAAAAAATTCTTGATTCATAATTTTTTTCTAGACAACTTAGCAGCAAAGCAGCTGGTCTCACTTATTTGTAAATTGAATAAACAAAATTTTTAATTCGGATATCTAACTTACGAGGGTTGTTTCAAAAAGAAGGTTTCCAACGCCGTGACTTTGCCTCTAAATCTGGCAGCACCGTCGTGCTTATCGGCTCCCCATAATCGATCCTACAAGAAGCGCCTATTAGCGACGCTCAGTACCGGCCTGACATTCACCCGATTTTTGCACGCAAAAACGTAACTACCTATAGAAATTAATCGACAGTTGAGTGAAGTATATGGAAAATGTGTGTAAGCATTCAAAATGTCCTCAAATGGTGAAAAGAGTTCTTTGACGGCCGCATGGACGTCCACGTTGAACAACGAAACGGAAGGCCGTTGATCTCCAAGGAAGTTGTGGCGAAGATTGAGCAAATCTTGCTCGAAGATCGGCGAATCACGATCCGGAAACAGGAGATTGAAATTCCTGAGGCTTCTTAAAGAGCTGAGACCAGCAATCCAAAATCGTCTTAGGGGAAAACTCTCCAAAGCGTAAGACTGCATCACGACAGTCGCATCCTCATGTCTCCCAACAATCGACTGAATCGAGCGATTTGGCGAGGAAGTCATTGCCCCTTTACAGCTCTGGAAAAAATGTAGGAAACTTACTTTTGAGACAACCCTCGTACAAAAATTCATCCTCATTAATTAAGTTCATTTTCGCTAGGAGTTTTGGTGCACATCGATTTTCTCACTAATTCAATGATCTATACACCGTGATTTTTTCCAGGACAAAACATAACAATAGGCTTTTCCTCTGGAATGTGTCCCATCACAGGAGAATACACAGGAAAGATCCCGGATGCCACGAATCTCTGTGCGAAGCTGTGGTCAGACTGCAGAGCCCCAGAGCTGATGTACTATCAAGTTTCCCATTGCGATTCGGAAGAAGTATACGAAGAAAGGGAGTACCAATGTCTTGGACATTGGAGAGAAGGGAACTTCCTCTATACATACACTCAAAGGAATGACGTAGCTCCAGGAACTTACGAATGTTTCGTTGGATCTATAATTACAGACATGAATATCTATATTAAAGAAGCTGGTGGACATTGCCAGAGGAACGTTGACCCACTGCGCTATGGCATGCAGCTTACTAAGAAAAGGCCTCTGTATTCTTGCATCGAAAGAAGTAAGTATTGTTTAATGCCTTTTATGCAAACTTCCATCCTAGGGCCTTCCAGAGAAGCTTTACAGATGGGTGGGTGACTTTATCTCGGGCCGCAAGATATACGTCATAATTGACGGATTCTCCTCTTCATCCCACTACGTCAACGCAGGTGCTCCCCAAGCATCGGTCTTGGTTCCGACACTGTCCCTGTTACATATCAATGACCTCCTTCCGTGTACAATCAATAAAATCCAGAACTCTGCTAATGCCAGCACTCTGCATGCAGGAACTGAGAATGACAAACCGATCTCTGCTGGTGAGCTGGAGAAAAGAAAACCTGGAGGCACATTGACGACCAAAACTCGACCTAGCGCTCATCAAGGTTTCGATGGATGACCGAGTTTTACCAAAGAGATGTTTATTTTGACTGGTCGGAGTCCAGATCACCGAGGACTTGATCTGGGACAAAGACATCTCGTCGAGAACGGCAGCTGCTGGGAAAAAGCTTGACAATTGTTTTAGAGCTAGGAAGTACTTTTCTCCTCACTCTGTACAAGGCCCAGATAAGACCTTGCCTCGAGTATACCTCTCATGTATGGGGTGCTGCCGCCCTGACTACATTATCCATGCTCAATGCTGTCCAGAGGAAGGCGGTCCGACTGATCGATGATTCTTCTCTAACGGACAGTCTCGGGACCCTTTTGGGCTTTGACAGACCCACCTGACTTCGGCCTCCCATCCTAACCGTGTCGAACTTCGTACATCCAGAACTGGCCGATACGACCGCACCTTTGCCCTTAGGATATCGAGCTTGAGGAACAATCTACAAGAGGAGGCTTTTCCCAGTTCTACTAAGCTTAGGCAGTTCAAAAATCGGATTAACAAAGTTTATTTAAGATCTTCATAGCAGCCGCGGTGCCTTGGCATTTAAGCTTCGGCCTGCGCGGCTGCTTCGGTTTTAAAAAAAAACAAGTACCGAGATTGTGGAACAACCTTCCTGAAAAGACTTTTGTCAGTTCTATGAACTTCAATTCATGACTTTTTCTTACTTCTAGGTACGACTCCTCGACATTTTCACAAACCTACTACGGAAAGGATTGTACCTAAGCCTACATCCACAATTGTACATCGGACAACGACGATCCAACATTTTTGTAAGTTTACTTCAACTACTATTGTCCAATGTATGGTAACTTTGTTCGGGTTCAACATAGAACTATCTCAGAAGGAATCTTTTGTTACCGGTAGCCAATCACTAAGCAGTTCTGACATCATGAGAACCCACGGCGTAGAATCAGAACGGTTCCCTATGTAACCCGGACAAGGCTAGTGTCTCTAATCCTAATTGAAATAAAAAACATGGCCCTCAAAAAAATTGGATGTCCCTCTAAGAAAATAGCGTCAGTTGTGGACAAACGGACTTTGAATATCCAGCATGTATAGTTAAAGCAACTTTTTCACGCTATGGTGCCTTTATTATACGATGGTCATGATAATGCTTGTGCCGTAGAGTAGAATGATCGTTGACTTAGAAAAATGAAATAATGTCTAATTTATTACTTTCGCGTTGTTTGACTGTCGTGTCTGAGACTAACTGCTTCCGTCATCTGGTCAGGTATTTACCCACCTATCGACGCGTCAAGAAATGTTCTAGAGTTTTCCAGGCAGAGTCATGAAGTTCCATGGAAGTAGTCTAGATAGCAGCAAGTGCCGCCAGACGGACCTCGACTATTCTTGAAACCCTTTTTAGATACTCTGTCGCGTATCTAGTTGCCTAAGCGTCGACTCTGCAAGGCGACTTCTCGCAGCTCAAGGTCCCAACTATACGAGGGCGTTACAATATCAACTTTCGTACGTTCTGGTATCTTGGAAAGTTCGTGAGGACGTGAGCAATATGTGCTGAGAACATGCATTATTCGGACATTTCTTTTAGGATCTAAAACTCACATTCCACGAATGTAAATATACCTATTCATGTTTACTGGGTGCTGACAAAGACACAAATCCAAACTGAAAAAATATCTTGTTAAATAATGAATCAGGGTTTTCTTTCATACAGGGAAAACCAAATTCGGCTGACGGCTTGATTTCAATGCATATGAGAGAGAAGCGCGAGAAGTGTGTATCAATACATGTTAGAAAGAGATAGCAGCCGGCTGAAGGGCGAAGGTCACTACCATATTACTTAGGAACGGTGACGCAGATTAGAATTATTTATTACAATTTTGATGCGACTTGGTGTTTCAATTTATTTTGGAATTATCTTCGATTTCCATCGATTGTGATAAAACCAACACACCCTGAGTTATTGTTACATTTTATGACATCGCTGCGGTCTAAAAATGCAACAAATAACGTTACGCAATACAAATTATCACTGCCTGCGTGTGCACCCGTGAAAGCCATCTCGAAGCAGGACGACACTCCCCTACAAGCGCTAGATGGGTACTGACCAAAATCGCTCATCTATGGTCATGGAGGTGGAAACCTTGCCTTGGAATGTACGAGATGCGGTATTGCCAAGCGAACCAATGATGCAATGTTGCAGAATTTGTGGCGATTCCGACCTTCCATTTCGACTTGCAATGAATCGCCGTTAGGGCCGATCCGGAATCGATCCTAAACAGATTCGATACAATTTAAGAATGTGTACACTCAAAATAAAACCATTATTTGGTCGTTGAGAATAAACTAACGCATATTTTCAACGTGTATCAATGAACTGATTTAACGAATTGGCAACGCTGCAGGTTGCCGCGACAGCGATGCTAGGCGACGCGGTGATGAGCTTCGCTATCGAGCCGGCTTCAATCTCGTTCTAACATATGTGACTATACACACTTCTCTCTCATATACATTTTGCTGTTACAGTTAGGAATATAAACACTTCAAGTTCCTTTTGGTGTGATTTACCTTTGAAGTGTTCAATGGAGTTTTTTTTGTTACAGCTACCAGTACGGTTCGACAGACACATTACATCGAACACAGTTCAAGCAAGATACCCGTATTGTCATCTGGCATACTTTGCTTATTCCTCTTTCTACACATGTTCGTCCAGTTTTGAAATTTGGGAGAGTAAGCTAAATCTTGCCAAGAAGTTGACCTTTTTTTGTACATAGTAAGATTGAAGCAAGACTTCTCTACGAATTCTAATAAACTGTTACCAGGATACAAAAAATACTTAGATGCAAAGTTGTCTTGCTTTGAAGGATACCCTTTGGCTGTGTCATACTTAAACCTGAAGTCCCATTCAGCGAGAACAAAGAGATAGGGATGAATGTAAACATCATCGAATAGTTTTTTTATAAAAAAACAATGTGTTCGTCTTGAAATGATACGTTTCTCTATACACTGTGTCCCTACAAGTTTCTAAGTTTCATGGTTTCAAGATGTTATATACTCGTATATATATAATATATATATATATATATATATATATATATATCTCAAGATCCTTCTATGCACACATTTTTTGATATTTTGTATATAGGGGATCCACTTTATGTTACGTGTAAGATATCAGGCAATAAGGGTCACATTAATAGACCTTTCTCGAGGATGGAGTGCCATTTGAGAAATGACTTCTGATTGGGTTTTAAATAAACCGTAATGCTTATATGAGAAACGCTCAAGGGAGAATTTGCGTTTTACAGTCTTTAATTATTGGTGATAAATTTTGGACAGTTTGGATTTTCTTCACTCAATGTTACTCACAAATACGAGCTACGCTTAACAGCTTGATCGTATTTATACAGCTTGAAAAATATTTTACTCACAATCTGCAACTTAATCGACGATTTTATAATAATGAGTAACAGGAAATTCTAGCAAAGATGCAGAAAAAGAGAAGATGTCCAGATTCTATACAAGCTTAATAATATAGTTGGAAATAAAAGTACCTCTATTTTGAAAAGCCGTTCTTGGGATCAGATTACAGGTATTTATAATGAAACTAGGGTGAAGAGAACATACAAAAATATAGGAAAACATTAAACAAGAACAAGTGGTGCGGTTATACAGAGAAATTCATATACCAGTGACGTCGTAATGTGTACGAGAGAGAAGTGCGAGAAGCGTGCAATACTTATGCTAGAAAGAGATAGAAGCACCACCTTGCCTAGCAAACCGAGTAACGAGACCATGGGCCCAGTTTAGGCTTGCCACGTTGCCATTAACATACATATGTATTGCATGCTTCTCTCTCGTACATATTACACCGTCAGTGATATTTGGATTTCTCCGTATAACGTCTAGAGAAATAAGTATAGCCGTTTTCGGTAAAGCTATTTATGGGCGTGTAATAAAAGGGACGTTTCTTTCTCTTCTTCTTTTTGATTCACTGTACTAATTATGAAAAACCGTTGATGAATTTGCACATTTTGAGTAACTGGATGTTCAAGCTGTATAAATACTATGCTGATAGTCTCAAACGTACTTGACAGCAAGCTGCCTATATTTATTCAGCTCCGCTATGTGGTTGCGTTATTCGCTATAAAATAAAAAAGCACACAATTTTAATTACAATTTTGCATTACCCACGAAAATTTAGCACACATCGATGACAGTCTGTGGTGAGAAGTATTACAACTCTACCGAGGAATACAAAAAATATTAAATCCCCTCTTGAACGTTCCTCAAGAAACCGTTACAGTTTGTTTAAAATCCAAGAAGAGATCGTTCCTTAAACATCATCCATTTCTCAAAGAGTGTCTCTAAATGGGTCCCTAAGTACCTTTAGTACTGAGTTCTGTGTATATAAGTTTTCGTTTTTAGTATGTTAGGGGTATTTATAAGGGCATATTGACTGATTTTTTTAATCATTGATACATGTTAGAATTATTTTCACTTGGTTTACTCAACAAAAAAACTTTGTTACTTAGGTTTGTGAATAATACTCTCATTTTGTCGTACTTATGATCATAGATGAAAATATTTCCTACCCTCAAAAAAATTGCAGAACAGTGAAGGAAATTTCCACGCTGTATTTTTTCTTTCTTACATTAAAAAGTCCGTAGCAAAAATTTTTCATAGGTTGCAGTAATCATGTTAAGCTAAAATAGGTGTAATATTTTTGAATTTTTATATCGTATATATGAACCAGTATTTTTTCCGGAAAATGTGTGATCTTTGTAGTTGAATTGCCTTATTGGGGCAATTTCAATTTTATTGTGATGTAAAATTTATTTATCCTATTTATAATAAATGTACTTAATTTATTACTTAACTAAGTTGTTTCATTATTATCCCCTAATTGCAATGTCCAATATAGAAACAATACTGAAACAGCATTTAGCTTCCGGTGATGCGGTAATGGCGATGATCTACCAGTCTGCATGTGTTGTACACACAAACACCAAAACAGCAATTCATTTCGGCTGGTCGGAGTCTATATCACCGAGGACTTGATCTGCTATGAACACATCTCTTCAATAGCGGCAGCTGCTGGGAAAAAGTTAAGCTGTTTGTTCACGGCTAAGAAGTACTTTTCTCCGCATGACCTCCCCACTCTATAAAAGGCGCAGATAAGACCTAGCCTCGAGTATTGCTCACACGTTTGAGGTGCTGCCGCCCCGACTACATTATTTATGCTCGATGCTGTCCAGAGAAATGATGTCCTCTTCACTAACAGACAGTCTCGGGACCCTTTCGCACCGGCGGGCCGTCAGCGTCTCTTCTACCGATATACCAACGGGGTTTGCTCTCCTCCATGATGCCGCCGCGCGATGTGCCTGCCAGACAGACCCGCCTGACTCCGGCCTCCTATGATAACCGTGTCAAACTTCGTACATCCAGAACTGACCGATACGACCGCTCCTTTGTCCGGAGCGTGTCGAGACTGGGTAACAATCTATAAGAGGTGGCTTTTCCCAGTTATACTAACCTTAGGCAGTTCAAAAATTGAAATAACAAAATTTCTTTGGGATCTTCATAGTAGCCGCTGTGTCCTGGCATTTAGGGTTCTGCCTGCGTGGCTGCTTCGGTGTAAAAAAAATCGGTAAATAATGTCTCATTTCAGTAGAAGTGCCGAAAAATCGGTATGTTCGGGAACACTGGCTAGTCGGGCCGTTTGTTGTTGTTCATATGGCGTATGGCGGATCTAAGCACAGCGTCGAACAAAATTTGCCCAAAACGTCCCACAGAATTACTTTGTCAGAAAATCCAAATCACAGTTAATTACTGGAAAGGGGGATGCTTTTTATCCGCGAAACGTATGATGTTCCGAAACAATTCCCGCCCAAGTAGAAATTCTCCAAATTTGGAGAAAAATATACTAGTTTGGCAACTCTGTCAAAGCACCACTGGCACAGGTGTCAAGTTTCGGGATAATTTTTAGTTTTTGCACCACGATCAGTTTTGCGTTACTTCTCTCTATGGGCACAACACAATGAAGGTGATCGGCAAACTTGCGCGCAGTGTCCCTGCCCTCTCTTGTTATAACTTTTTTTGCCAGACTACTCATTTTGTCGCCATATAAAAACCTACTCAAGGAGGCTTTCCAGCATTAAGATACGTTTCCAATACTCAGCGTAGATTACCTTAATTCCAAAGCGTAACAATAGTTGCAGCTAGATTTCTTAGATGGCGGCGCAAGTATTAATTTCAGAAGGTTTCTCCTGAGCTGTAAGAAGTTAACCAAAAGGGAACCGTAAGTGCGATTTCGAGCACAAGAGGTCGCCACATGTTACATTAGCTGAACACTATTCTATGATCCAAGAAATATACATCTTCTATTTCATTTAAATAATAAATATGAGTCTCCTGAAGAGTAAATCGTGGAATTTCAGATTATTTTTACCTGATTATTTTATAGTGTGGTTGATATGCGTAATGCTATATAGTCGAGGTAACTAACTCTGATCTTGAGGTAGACAAGTTAACCATTTTTTGTGAAGATGGCGCATTGCTACTTAGCAATATCATCAGATAATATGGCAATTAAATGCGATAGGCGTACAACAATATAATAATGAATCCCAACTGTCCGTTGAATGAAATAAAAATATAAATTTCCAATAAATAGAGTGTTAATCTCTTGTGCACTGCCATCTGGTGGCAGAAAGATGTATTAGGGATATCACAGAACTTGAACTTGGCGCAAAAATTAGGTTGGCTGAATTGTTGACAAAAGGAAATGTCCCTATAACCTAGTGATCAAGTGATCATTTTTATCCTAAAAATTTATGTGAACGTGAAGTATGATATTTCTGTGAATTATTGATAAATAGTGAATAACTGCGTATTTTTGTAGGAGTAATAAAAAACAAATTAAAGACTTTCTGCCCGGATTACGTAACCCGTTTTTGTCATGAATACAGAGTGTGGTAGTGCCGCAGTGTCGTGTGCTATAGATACCATGCCTTTTTGAATCAACATGGTAAGGCTCCATATTGTTAAATTAAACGAAATCTGCTAGTAGAACAGTAGATATAGCGTCGGATAACTCCTTGGGGGCCGAAACTTCACTATGGAGACCCCAAACATTCCTCATTCAGGAGAAGATAAGTCTGAAGCAGGAGCTTCATACGCACATGTTGTCCTGAACCTAAAATCTAATAACAACAATAACAAGGAGAATATTAAAGACACCAAGGAAAATATTGTGAAAAAACCGCAGGATAACCAAAAACAAAGTGAAAATGAGCCAAATAAAAGTCATTTGGATGATGATGGGAGCTTCACACCAGTTATAAGCCATAGTCGGAAAGACCGGAAACACGAAAAGCTCAAAAAGAAGCAACAACTAGTGAACGGAATGCCGGAAAAAGAAAAATTCGATAGAAAAGACGCACATCCTAAAGAAAAACATACTGACAAACATAAGGAGAAACGCGACGAGGGCCCAAAAGAGCCTAAAGAACCAACTGATCCTCAACTTGACTCGAAAAAGGTTTTTGTAGCAGCTCCTTTGCCTAAAGTGAACCCTTGGCAGCTTAAGGCACAAACAGTTGCTCCAGACATGAAGTCACAGAGAGTTTTACAACCAAAAAAACAAGAGTCTACTGATAGTAATGTTCCTGTTGTCGGTGAGGTGGTGGCAGCCCCTGTTAGTGTCCCCAAAGCATCAAAAAGGGCCTATTCACAAAAGGTAGGAATTAGCTTGTCTTTATAATCATTCAATTTTCATGAAAGCTGTTCCTTATCTTTTGGAAAAACATTTTTTGTAAACATGGGATGGAAAATGATGCATGCTTTTAAAATGCATTTACAAACTCATGAGCAATTAAAATGGCCATTATGAATATTTTGACTTTTCACTCATCGTATTGAAATCATTGGAATGATAACATTGATTATGAAAGATACTGGAATTTTTCCTGTAGAAAATTGCTTAATCTAATAATCATGTCAGGAATAGGCCTTAGGTCTTATTTTTATATAAATTTATCATTTAGAAACTTGAAGGAATTACTATAAATAATAGATACATTTAAGAATTAATAGGTAATTTAAGATTACCATAGTCTGATATTATATGCATGTCCCCCTAATTTTTGGTTTATGTATTGGCACTGTCAAAATTGATTGCTAAAATATCCTATATTCTGCTAACAGCAACAAAGTTGACCAAAGTATTTTTTTTTATAAAAGCCATTTTTAGGCCCTAAATGTACCTACCTTATAACATATTGCTATGTAAATATACTTGTGTAGTTCCATGGTAACTCTTTTATTTTTTGACATACAAACAAAAATTTGTGGATATGAGACTAACCATATTCACCTTTATTCAAAGAATTATTTGTGAAAAATATAACAATATTTATTTTTTGAGATGGTTACTAGTTTGGAAATGGTAGGCATGGTGAACATTTTTTAGTTTGCAAAAAATGTGTTTAAGAACCCTCTGTGAGAAGAGTGTTAGTCAAGTGTATACTTTTTGAATTCAGAAAATCTTGACCAACTTCTTCTCTACCATATTGTGGTATTTTACAATATTTAAATCATGTATGCTCTGATATTCCACTTGTTTTAATCTTTTTTATGTAATAATTCTTGTTATGTTCAAACTTATCTTATAATTGAAGATAAAAGATTATTTATGCTAATATTAAATAAAGCTCAATTTAATTAAATGTAAATTTGTAATCATGAAACCTAAGTGTTGATGAATAAAAAATCTTGTTTTTACAGAGATAATATGATCTATTCTCTGTGGTGAATATTCCTGATAACTGATATAGTTTTATATTTACACATGTTTTATCAAAATCGTGTTCTTCATAACGACAGCACCATCACTGTGTGTAACTTCTGACACACTTGCATTCATCTATACAGTGTGTCCCAGATTCACTTCTCTATACAGGGATCTCAGCTCCTGTTATACCTACAGTAAAGGTTAAATGATGGAAGTTTTAGAGGAAACGTAGTGCTTTCGATAGCCGGCTTCAGATTTACAATCTGTCAATTGGTTTTGAAAAGAGCAAAAAACCGAAAAAGGCGGAATTCGTTTTTTGTCAGTAAATCGAAAACGGTTAATTTGACAGCTGTCAAAATGTGACATAATTCGGACATTTTTTAAGCAAAATAAGATAGCATGTAAGACATGTCTCAATCATCTTTTGTTTTCCACCAACCCGCCACAACTTTTATTTTTCTTATGGCCGCCATATTGGATTTTATGATTTTTGAAAAGAGGGTAAAATTTCCACTCTAGTGATGTCTGACAATTTTGTTCTAAATAGGCCATGATTTATTTGTAAGAAAATAACATTAATGAGTAAGGCATAAAAAAACACTCTAATGCCTTGAATTCTGAATAGAGTATTACCCTTCATATCGATTTCTCAACAAGTCAAATGTTTTGGGACAAATTCCCAACTATGAGTGTGTTTAAGAAAGCAAGTCAGAAAAATCATCATAAGTTTATTTTACACTTGAACAAACAAACATTTTACAAAATTGTACTGTACAAAATCTAATTATGTAAGTTACAGATTGGCAAAATAATGTCTAATTGCATCCAGGCATGTTTGACAATTTATGAGTTTAGCTAGTGTATTTCTGTTAATGTTTCTGTGCTCAAAATTCTTTGTCTCAGGATTTCTATGGTCATGGGAGGATCAAATTCATAGACCTCATTCTTTGTTTGACCCCAGAGGTAGAAATCCAAGGGTGAAAGGTCAGGGGATCTAGGAGGCC